AATCACCTCCCACCAGGCCCCACCTCCAACACTGGAGATTACAATGACTTGGGATTTGGGCAGGGACCCAGATCCAAACCATATCAGGGCCCCACAGCAATCAAGGCTCTCCTTCAAGTTTCCTTGGGCTGTGTCACCTGCCAGTTAAGGCCTGTGATGACCTGTGGACCATTTAAAAAGTATTTTTCCCCCAAGATAATTGCAATCTGGGAATGGAGTGTGGAAAGGCATGCCCTGGGCCATTCCAACTTCCAGTTTCTCAACCTTCTGTCATGGCCTTTGTCTTATTCCACTGCATTTAGGAAAGGCAGGAGGATGTTATTTCTCAAATGATGGTACATCCCCAAAGCAGCCAGGGATACTCAGGCCTCAGCTTTGTTTCTTAAACAAAAGTGATTCAAAGTCTGGCACAAAATGGCACACTTTGAGCTTCTACTGTGACCCCCTTCCCTCCCGCACTGGCCACAGGGTGGGATTCCCCACATTACAGTCACAGGGGTCAGGAGCCCATTCTCTCAGGCTGCTTCTCCTGCAGGATCCTGCCTACCTAAGCCCCCTCTCTAACAGAAGAAAGAAACTCCACAACAGAGAAACGAGGATTGAGGCCCAATACGTTTTATGAGATGCTATTCTCACATTTCTAGTTGTGGGGAAGTCGAGTTATTTGGGAGACTAGTGTGGACGTTGTCCTTCTCAGAATACATGCATACTTAGGGGATTTCTAGATGAACTTTTGTTAATCTAGATTGGATTGTGCTCTTGATTGGAACCCGACTCACCTGTCTAACGAGCTGTGTGGTGCACGTGGGTGCCGCTCACACTCACCTGCCCCTAAGGGCACTGCTCCACCCCTTGAAGTATGGGGTGACCATGTGATCTGCTTCAGCCAATGACATGAACACTGTCATTTTGGGGCAGAAGCCCCAGAGCAGGGGACTCCTTGCTGTCCTCTCTGGCTGTGTCCCTCTGTGGCGGAACCTCTGCTCACCTGGGTTCCAAGTGAAAAGGAGGACATGGAGCATGTGTGAGAAACACACCTGAGCTGTTTGGAGCCATGGAGATTCGGAGAGGTTCAAACTCCAGCGCAGGCCATCCAGACTGCTACAGAAGATGAATTATTTCCTACTGCTGTTTTTCCCAGAAAATGTAATACTTGTTGATGTTAAAATGAATTTTTTGCCTTGCAGCTGATCACTCAGATACTTCAAATTTCATTTTATCAAATTCTTTCCAGCACCTGTTCTTCGTCTCGCTTTAGTTTAAGAGGGATAAGGAGGCTTTGTTCCTTTTTAACATTCTCGTGGAAATATTATGGATATTCAGAAGTGGTTTTTCCATCGGTTTTATCAATACAGCTACTATGAAGAAAATCCTCCTGAAACTCATTCTGATTCAAGGCCAGCCAATGATCACTTTGCCATAGCCCTTGTTCTGTCTCCACCAAAACACAGGGACATCTGAGGACAATCCTTGAGTCAGTTTTCCTTTAGCTGCCCATCCCATTTTGTCACTTGAATTTATTTTTTCTAAGGCGGGCTTTCTCAACCTGGACACGACAGGGATTCTGGTCTATTTCTTTCTGGTGTGGGCGCCATGTGTGCACTGTTGGAGGGTTAGCAGCACCTTCTCTTCTCCTAGTCAGGAAAACCCACAATACCTCCTGCAGATCTCAGTTGAGAACCACTGTTCTGAACCAAACACATTCATTTTGCCCTTCCATGTGATTTTTTTGATGAACTATCACAATGTAGAAAAAGATATTTGGCTACCTTTGCTAAAAAAAAAGAAAAACAAAAAGAAAAAAGAAAAAAAAAGACTTTGTTTTTTGATTTATCATTTATTGAAGGCCACCCGTCCTGCCATCCATGAGCATTTCCCATATGTCAGGAAGCATGTTAAATGTTGACTTTTCATTCATCTGTTCATTCTTTGCACACACATCCATAATGGAATGAGCACGTGCTGCCTGCCAGGCACTGTTCCGAGCATTAGATGTGTGGTGGGGAATCGACAGGTGAGGCTCTGTCTTCACAGAGCTCAGAGCCTACTGGGGAACTCATTAAAGAAACACACAAGCAAATCTATCATTGCAAATGATAGTAGGTGCCATAAAGGAGAAAAGAGGATGTTTCCGTGGCTGGAGAAGAGGTGACATTTCAGCTGACACAGGAAGGAGTAAGCCCAGGGCACAGCAGGGAGACATTCTTTGAGTCCACCATGCACACGTGGTCCTCTACCACAAAGAAACAGGTAGCCCAGAATGCCAATCGTGCCCAGAATGAGAAAGCCTGGCTTAGTAAAAGCTAATTCAAGTGACAAAATGGTACAGGCAGCAAAAGGAAAACTGACTCAAGCAATGTCCTCAAGGCAGCGCAGCAGAAACCCGCCGGGCAGTGGCAGGAAAGGGCTGGTGCATTTCAGGACGCAGAAGGGCCAGTGTGGCTGGAACACAGAGGGCAAGGGAGGGAACGATAGTGGAGAGGTCGCGGGAGCCAACGCTGGTCAGAGGATGTGCTGCCACAAAGAGAGCCTGGCAACAGCTATCAACAAATGCACACATGCCTTCAGTCCCACGACCTCTGGCCCTTGGGCCTCCTGGCCACCCCAGGGTCCCTGCCTCCTGCCCTGCCCATTCAGTAGCACTGCTCGCCCTTCCCTAGAACACTATGGAGCCAAGAAGCCACTGCAGGGAAGGGTTGGCTGCATTTGCTCCATTTCTTTGCCAGTTTGCTGAGAAACAGGATTCTCCTGGCTAACCTAGTACAATTTTAGTAATTGGCCCTAATCCTCAAAGCTTCTCATTCCGGAGAACAAAAATATATCCTGTTCTACTACAGCAGCGGTCCCCAACCTTTTTGGCACCAGGGACTGATTTCAGGGAGGAAAATTTTTCCATGGACCGGGGTAGGGGATGGTTTCAGGATGATTCGAGGGCATTACATTTATCGTGCATTTTATTTCTATTACTGTTACATTGTAATACATAACGAACTAATTATACAACTCACCATAACGTAGAATCAGTGGGAGCCTGAGGTTGTTTTCCTGCAACTAGATGATCCCATCAGGGAAAGATGGGAGATAGTGACAGATCATCAGGCATTAGATTCTCATAAAGAGGGTGGCCCCTGGATCCCTCACATGCACAGTTCACAACAGGGATCACGCTCCTGTGAGAATCTAATGGTGCTGCTGATCTGGCAGGAGCTGGAGCTCAGGTGGTAATGCGGGCGGTGGGGAACAGCTGTAAAAACAGATGAAGCTTTGCTCGCTCACCCGCCGCTCACCTGCTGCTGTGCAGCCTGGTTCCTAACAGGCCACAAACTGCACCGGGGCCGAGGACCTGGGGTTTGGGGACCCCTGACCTACAGGACTGGGTGTAATTCACAGAACATTTTTGATCCTTATTTCCAAGCAGCCTTTGGGAGCCCACATGCCATTCTGAAAACTTCAGACTTTCTCCCTGTGTCAAGAATGGCAGGGACAAATAAAGGATGCAGCAATGCTTACTCCGAATGTGAGCAGAATCCCAAGCTTGGGACCACGGGGACTGTGTTAAGTCATTGTTTTCTATGGGGTTTGGTTTACGTCAACAGCCACAAAAAGGGGCAGCCATCATCCCTCCCGGGCGTCACTGTAACTGTGGGTAGGACTGTGTCCCCAGAAATATCTGAAGTCCTAACCCCTGGTATTTCTGATTCTGACCTTATTTGGAAACAGGGTATTTGAATGTAATCAAGGGAAGATGAGGACCTGCTGGAGGAGAGTGGGCCCTCATCTAACTGCTGGTACCTCCTAAGGAGAAGGAGATTGAGACAGAGACTCGCATGAGGAGAAGGCCTGTGATGATGAAGGCAGAACTTGGAGCGACGCAGTTACAGCTGACCAGTGCCAGGGACCACCAGCAACACATGCAAAGGAAAAGGCACGGGGCAGATTCTCCCCTGCAGTCTTCAGAGGGGGTGGCCACGCCAACACCGTGACATCAGGCTTGCAGCTCCCAGCACTAAGCTATGAGAATACATTCACGTTGTTGAAAGCCACCCAGTTTGTGCTACAGCAGCCCTAGGATGTGAACGTCGGTACCTTCATAAAGTGTGCCAGTCACTTTTCTCAAAGGAAAAAAAAATAAAACAGGTTCTGAAATGAGTTAGGAATCTTGATGAAACCAAAGAAGGAGTTCCAATGTCACTTCGGTGGCAGGTTTCAAAAACTTCTGAAACTGAAACAGCCTTTTTTTTTTTTTTTTTTAATAGTTACTGCATATCTGAATCACAAGAACTACAGTGATCAAATACAATACTGGCTGATTAAAATGACGGCAGGTTTCCTTTTAGTGGAAGTCAAGTGGAATCTATAATTTTGTTTAAGCCAATTAAACTAGAAGCCACCAGGATGAAGCAATATCCATCCTACCACGGGATTAATTCTTCCGTGACAACAGAAAAATGCAAGATGTCAAAGGAATACATTAGCTCTGTGGGCACGAAACACCTCCGAATCAGTGTTCCAGACTTAGTTCCCTCTGGTAAGGGTTATAAAAATACTTGGTGCTTTTTTAGAGCATCTATAAAAGGGCTATTGATTTTTTTTTTTTTTTAAGATTTCTACTTTTAAGTGCAAGCTGAAGGAACATGCATAAAACATTTCAATATACAATTTGTAACAAATTTCTGGTTCTGCAAACATCACATGCTAAAAAAACGTGTTTACAACGTTGCACGTAGGTGCAAGGAAAGAGGAAAATAAGAAAAATTGCTTTTTGTTTGCTTTTTACCTTGCCTTTGTCGAAGTAGTGGATGATTTCCTGGTAGAGCTGCTCCTTCAGCTGTCCCTGCGTGGTGGCCTGGTACCCGTCCCGCTGGGTGAGGTGGGCCACACACACATCCTCCGACCACTAAGGGAGAAGCAGAGCATGAGCGGCCCCGAGGCAGACACACCCAAGGACGTCAGAATGGTGTGAGCTTCGCATCGGACACGTGTGGGGGCCGCGGTTCTGGAGACACGCGTGGCTGCTGTCAACAGGCTGGGGATTGCCAGGGCAGAGCCTCTGTCTGGACACACCGACAGGCATAAAAGATGTGGGGGAGGCAGAGCTGCAGTGGGGTTCACACAAAAGAAAAACCCAGCAGGTTCTGGAAAGCACAGAACTGGCAGCTTGCAAATGCCACCTCCTAATATCCCGGGACAAATCAGCAACCAGGTGATCCAGGGCCATCCCAAGGGTGGCACCTCAGGGCTCTGGTCTCAGTGTTGTGTGGGTTGGCATTTTAATCAACAGCAAAGACAGTATATGGAAAGGGATCGGAAAGGCTGTCAAGCTCCTTAAGGATGGGGAGGTGTTTGCACCATCAGCCATAGGCATGGTGCTGGGCACAGAGTCAGGGCTTGGCCAGTATTCCTGGAAGCATTGGTGCAGTTGGTGTGTGAGCTGAAGATGCACGAGGAGACACGCCAGAGGGAAGGCAAGGCCACTTGACAGATACAACGTGTCAGCTCCTGAACTTGGGCTCAACACATCAGTGGCATTAAGTATAGGGTTCAATAAAATTCAGCAGCTATTTGATGAGGACCTGCTGTGTGCCTCGAGCTGGGTCAAAGAGGAGGTGGAAGACGCCTGACCCCCAGGATGGTGCAATTCTACATTAGAGCATAATGACACAGGACAACACTGTGTGAGCTAGGATCGGGCCACTGTACTCTAGTCTGGACAACAGAGCAAGACCCTTCTCCAAGAAGAAGAAGAAAAACAGAACAAGAAAAAGAACACTGCAAAAAAAGACTCCATGAGCACCTAAGGGCAGGAGGCATGTGCTCCCACTGGGCAGCCTGGAGGCTCACGGGAGGACAGGCTGAGCATGCGCTTGCTTACTGCTGGTCCCAGGAGAGGGAGCTTGACCCTGTTTTCAGCCAGGCCACGGAGGGTGCTGCAAATAAGGCACTAAGTGGGAAGCTGGGGTCTAGGCAATGGGGCAAGGCTCCGTCAGCTGCTTACTGTCTTAGCACATGCCCCTCCCCACTTCCCTGAAACCACGGGCCTGAGGGCACCTCCTGCTAGACATCAGGTCTCCCAGGCACTGGGCATGGGCCCTGAATGGCTCCCCCTTTCCAGGAAGGTCAGGCAGGAGTGAGAAGCCTTTAAGTGGTCTGCAAAGTTTTTCACCTTAAAATTAAACTTGCATCTCTCCATCACAATTGGACAAACTCTATAACTTTGAAGTTTGTACAACATAATTGGTCTACTTTTATTGGAGGATGGAGAATAAAAGTAAAACTAGATTCTGAAATGTAACCACAATAAAATAAATTAAGAACAAGCAGGTTCAGAATCCAAATGACTTCTTTGCATTTTTAAATCAGGTTTGCAAATGAAAACATTGACTAGGGAAGGAAAAATCCTCTCTACCTTCCACTTCCACATGGAGATGTAATAATTTGATTGCTAGGTGAAAAACTAAAGCTTTAATCACTCTTGGTTTTGACGAAAGATATGCCTAACCAAAAAAGATTCTATGTGAGGATTTTCAGTTAACAAACAATAATATATCTGTCATACTGAAGAATTTTCACAACGATACAAATCATGTCCTTTGGTGAGTTGATTAAATAGCATGAATTCACATTTACAGTAATATCAAAACACACTTAGAAAAAATTGCAAAATGTAATGGGGCAAAAGATATGGAGAGAGATTATGTAGAATTCACCATTAAACTGGAAAATTCAGAAGCCCAGGGGAAATGCTAATGCAATTGGGCCTATCGATTTGAGCTGTGAAACAAACCATCATGCAGTTTGTGACAAACCCATCTGTACTCAATAAATCCAATGATTAAACAAATGATGCTTTTATGCACATATATATGTTTTACATTCACACACGCATATAAAAGTTTACATTCTGTGAGAGACGGAGTAAGGGTTGAGTGAGCAGTTTGTCAACCCCATTTTAATTTCCCTGGGGTAAAAGAAATATCTTCACATTTGCAAAAACACCTTGTTACTGAAATTTGAGTTTCGAATAAATGAAGGCCGTCAGAATTCAGAGTGTGAGAGCTGGTATCAGATGTACCAACTGAAATCTCCATCCTCATAAATTATGCTCCTTGGGAGAGCCTTACATGGCACGGGGCCAAATGGGTCCTCAGCCAGCCAGCCTCAGGAGGACAACTGATGAGGCCTCCAGACTGAGCTGAGCTCTGTGTGTTTATTTGTAACAGACACTGCTGTTTCCAGGCAGAGGCCAACTTCCACTCCCAAATGTCTCTAGGGCAGCCTGTGTATATCTGTGTCACAGAAGCTAGCAGAAATTTCAGCATCGGGCCAAAGATGGAAAGAGTCTTACCAGAGTTTTACTTCATAACACAATGTCTTCCTGAACTCCTATTACCTAACTGACACTACTTAATACCCATTTAGTGTAATTTTCTCTGGTTCTCTTTCATTACATTTTTGGTTTTAGGAGGCTGGCCTAGATTTGGAAACATGACTCCTTGAATGAGTAGTCTTGCGGAATGCCACCAAACTAAATTCTAATTCTTGTAACTGTTCTTATTCATCCAGTTCATAATTTTTCAAATTTTTACAAGGATGTCATGAGCAAGATCATCTAATAACTTGCTGAAGTTGTGAAATATAAAACTAGAGGCTGTACAGCAATTTATCCATCCATCCATCCATCCATCCATCCATCCATCCATCCATCCATCCATCACTGTAAACAAAGGAAGTCAATGTCTGAAGCTATCTGAGTAATAAAAGGACCACTAAGAGTTGACAGTTGTCATGCTAGACCTGTGCTAGGAGCAATACTCTTTAGAAGAATCAGGCAGAGAGCGCTAGCAGAAGGTCTCAACGTGAACTGATAGAGTGAAAAGTCATGATCTGGTCCCTAACTCTTTACTAAGACAATTAGGGGTGTGTCTCACCCTATCTCTTAGTTGTTCTACCAGGAAAATTCCTTCTTGATATTGTTCTTCACTGTCCTGGAGTCCTCTAGTCCTGAACAAGGAATTGTAGAATCTCTAACTTGCTGTCAGCTCACAGCCAAGGATGGGAGTTTACAATGCTTAGTGATCACCTGCTACAACATCTAATTAAATCTGCATTCAGAAGGGACAAATCTCTAACGAAAGTACATCCTAAATTTTTTTGATTGTATCCTTGCATTTATTTAGTCAATTTCATAAAACCTTAAGTTATACTTACTAAAATTTGTCATGGAAAAATGAAATTCTCAATACTCTTAGAATGTATAACAATGGAATCGTCATGTAATTGACATTACCTTAAGAAGCTTTGCATGGAGAAGCAAGGTGTAGGCCGCCTCGGTGTAGTTATCACACTCCTTGTGCAGGTCACAGAGCTTGTACAAATACCTGAGACAAGAAGACAGAGGTATGTTCTTCAAATGTCACTAAATAATTTGTGTTGAGGATTGCAAGAGCTAAATTCTATGTTCAACAGTAAATCACAGCTATACTTTCTTTTTACAATGTTCATAATTCATCATGCCTTAAAAACTTTTGGTACAGAAAGCACTAAGAAAAACTCAGGAAAAAGATAAAGATGATACACAAAGGTAGAATTTTCCTTTAAATTTCTCATTCCTTTTCATTTTCCCTTAAACATTTTTAATGAGACACCCAATGCTTGATTGTGATTTCCTACATTTCTACTGAGTCCAAATGCACAACGAAATCTGTAAAACTACAAATCCATCAGAATAAAGAGCTCGAATGGTTACAGTCAACGTGATCAAAAGAATTTCTTTGCCATAAAGAAATACAGGTAACTGAGTTATTGAATTCATATAGTATGTTTTTAAAAAGGAGAAATAAAAAAACCTAGAAATAGAAAATTAGACAACCACACTCAATGTAATAAACACATCACTAAAAACTCATGCTGCGTAGGTTACATCCTTCTCCTAGTGTCCAGAGTGGTAATCTTCCTAATTATTTGACACTAGACTTTAGAAGTAACCAAGAGAGAGGGACTCAATCACAGTCCCTCACTTCAGGGAGCAAGGTGAGTAGGGAAGCAAAATCCAGCAGGCAATGCAAAACATTTCTCTTCTTCATGGAAGAAAGACATAAAAAACATGGGACTAGGGCATCCGTTAACTAACAGCACACCGAAAAATTATCACTCACCTATGTCTGGTAAAGTTATAACTGGATTTCTCACTGGATCATATAACTTACTGTGAAACATTAAAATGTATGTGCTTATCTTTTTGCAAAAGGGCCACAAGAGTTGGTCAACAGGGACAAAACACTGTGAAACAATTATTAGTAGTTTTGCTTCTGAGTTGACGAAAGGTGACCACCAAGAACTCAGCACCAGTCTGGACAACACGAGGGCTGCACGAGGGCTGAGAATGTATCCAGGAGCTCCACCAAACTCTACCTTATACGTTTCACAATTTTCTACAAAATAAACCTCTGTGGCTATAACACATTTCTCAGCATAGGTAAACATACAACATACATTATTATTTATAATTAACATGCAAACAAGTGTGATGCATACATACCTTATGTACATTTCTTCTCTTTCAATTTCTTTGTAGAAATTCTGAAAAACCATAATACTGTCTTAAGAAATCTGTTCCACAAAAGGTGTCACATGCACATTAAAAATTCAAGATACTTCATCTTCTGTCAAACACGGCCAAATGGACCCAGCTCTTCGGATCAGAACCATAAATTCACATAAATTGCAAAACCATCTTACACGGTTCTTCACTTTTATTTTTTGCTAGTCAAACACAATTCCATTTCTACACTGAACACTGTAACGACTAAAATCAACTCCTATCACTTGAAAGTCACTTGTCTTTAGTTAAAACAAAGTATTACCCAAAAAGACATGAAGATGTGATATCTTAGCCAGAGTAATCTTATGAGAACAAACGAATACATAAATAAATATCCCAAATTTGGGAATAAGCAAATAAGTATCATCAACATGATTTAAAGCTTTCTGGGCCCAGCCTCAGCAAAAAAGACAATATGATAATATAGATCTGAGGTATGAATACACTAGCCAATATATTAAAGACATATATTAAAAGGTAAAGTAAATTTAATTAACACTGAATAAATAATTCACTTCCCCCAGCTGCACTTGCCACGCTTGGAGTGCTCAACAGCCTCATGGAGCTAGTGTTACTGTATCAAACAGTGTAGACACAAGACAGTTCCATTATCCCAGAACTTTCTGGTAGATAGCACTGTTCCAGGCAGACAAACCTTCCAAACCACGGTTAAAAACAAAAATGGGCTGCCTCCGAAAAAGATCCCTGTGTATACACACTGATGGAGAAAGCTTAGTTAGTAGATTAAAACCAATGGATTAGTTCTACATCTTTACTGGAAAATATCGTCTGGTTGAGCAACAATATTTCTATCAAAATTATATTTCTTAAGGTGAACATCTCCATAAACACTTTAAAACCTTTTTCACACAGGAGCCACCAGAAGGGCACAGAAGTCACCTAACAAGGCCTAAGGTAAGGAAACATCAGAGTCACTTTCAATGTGCAATTTAGCACCTAAAAACGATGTTAGTTCTCTAGAATTGGAGCCTGAAGTAACTAGTGAATATCACCATTACAGAGACATACAATTATCCAAGAAAATGGCGTAGGCTCTTTAATTTCATGAGCAAAACCCAGCATTGCTTCTACAATTGATGTCTCTGAAAAGAAATGATAACTAAGTCTAGAAAATAAGCGGGGGCACATTTAGAAAAATGCACCAAGATTTTCAAGTTTCGTTGCCTCTGACATTTTAATGTCCTCCAGTTCATATGACACGGCTCAGTAATGAGGATATTTTCAGCAGACAACTCAGCGTCGCAACAAAGAGAATCTGCATCAAAGGCAGACGATAAGTCCTTCATTTCCAACTCAATCTCGCCAGTATTTACAAGCCAGGGTTTCACACCAGCCCCTTCTCTACTCGTATTTTTAATCCTTTCTCAGGTTTTGATCATTTTTCTTTACAATTTCACAACGGGAATATCATGCGACCTTCATTCCTCTCTCGGAGATACGAAATGTCTTCTATTTTCTGCCTGTGCTGAGTCCTGTTCCCTTCCTAGGACTTCAAAACCTCTCCACAACCGAAGTACACTCATCTCCAATCCCAATTTCTATATAAAACCTTTGTGTTTCTTACGTAAAGGTCCACGCGGTGCTCCCACTCCTCCTGGACTCCGCGGGCAGCCTTGTCTCTCAAGTCCCCCTACACCAGGGCTGACTGACGTCTGTGCCAAGCTTGCAGCTCAGCTCCCAGAGGAACCCCATTGGGACCGGCCCCCCAACTCCAATCCACCGCTAGGCATTGATCTTTCAGAACGCCGACATCAGAATTATATTTCCATTTTGGACTAAAACAGATACCAAGATTTTAAAAATACTGGACCCCACTCTGCATTTAATTAGCCTTGTCACGGGGCCATGAAGAGAAGTAACCGGCATCTGCAAAGTAATGACAAGTCTACCCGTCTCAGAGATGGGATGTGTGGATGACTGCGCAGAAGAACTAAGTGACACTCAGCAACGTTAGTGACCAATAATTAAAGATGCTCCATTATGAGGTGTCAGTGAAATCCTAGTTAAAGAATTACAAATATATATCCAAGATCCAATATACATGCAGATATCCTTGCAGGGGATGTCTTGCGGACTTAGGTGGCCAAGGAGCGTGACTGCTCGCATCTCTTGCTTTTTCATTTTCATTTTTCTTCTTTCGTTGTTGAGACAGAGTCTACCTCTGCTGCCCAGGCTGAAGTGCAGTGGTGTGATCTGGGCTCACTGCAACCTCTGCCTCCCGGGTTCAAGCTATTCTCTTGCCTCAGCCTCCCGAGTAGCTGGGATTACAGGCACCAACACCACACCCAGCTAATTTTTGTATTTTTAGTAGAGACAGGGTCTTACCATGTTGGCCAGGCTGGTCTCAAACTCCTGACTTCAAGTGATCCTCCCTCCTTGGCCTCACAAAGTGCAATAGGTGTGAGCCACTGTACTCGATCCCATTTTTGTTCTTTTAAGGGCAAAAAAATAGGACGTGAAGGAGCTCACACAGCTTACAATGTTCCACTAACTGTGTTTTGGTAAGAAACCACAAAGCTGGTTCTAAAGAAAACTTGGCAACAGACTTAAAGAGCATCAGTAAATTCTATATTCATTTTATTTATTTAATTTTTTAACTTTAGGCTTCAAAAGAGTATATTTTATACTCTTAGTGACTAAAAGAGTATATTTTATACATCTCTAATATCTATACATCTATATTCATTTAGAGATGGTTATACATACCCATCCCTATTAAACTCTGCTGCTGTAATAAAAGTATCAGGAGGAAAGGGAAAACCTGACCAGGAAATGGAGCTGGGCGGTGAGTATTTATGGTTAGGACACCTAGCTACCTATCTTTAAAACTCTGGTTTCTTGTTTCTCTTTATTCCACAGATTTATTTTCTAAATGAAAAAACGGTGACTGTTGGGATCCATTTTACCATCCCCAGGAAATGGTTAAGAACATAACACTTGACTTTTCACTAAATGACTCAGGACATTCCCATTTGAAGAAAGTTAATAATGTCAGATAATCTTGAGAACCCTGGGTGTATTTCTTAGTTAAAACTGAGCAAGTGCCGACCACAGTAACAGTACATGGGCACTGAGGCAGGCTCTGAATGAAAGAGGAACACAAGTTCACATTAGAAAGTGTGATTATAGGTTTTAATACAAGAGTTTTTTTTCCTGACCCTAGATTCAGGTCATAAGAGCCCATATTCAGAGCACACCACCATTTCTCTACTGTTCCACGTCCTGGTGAACCTAAGAGATCTTGCTTAAAACAAATAGAAGACTCAATCATCAAAGTCGGAAAACTAAAAAACTTATTGATAATTCTTCCTTCTGGGCACTTATCAGCCTCTTAGATCCCCTTAAGGATTAGGAGGAACACTAAAAAGTTATGTCCATAATAGGGAAGGATTTTGTAAAGGTCTCCCTTTCTTTCCCATAGAAAAATACTGGTTCCTATTTCACGTCAATTACGTTGGCACCATGACAATACATTACTTTGAACGCTGGCTGGAATGCAAGAAGACAGTGAAGCAAGCGCCAGGTTCTTTCCTGTCTGTCAGATCAAACCAACTGACCTGGGGCAGAGCTTGCTGCTGTACCCCTTGCTCAGTCTCCAGGCGAATATGAAGACAAACACAGTCACGGCCCAGACCTCAGGGTCAGACATCAGAGGCCAGTAATTTCGACAGTAGCCTAAGACACTATGATGGATCTGCAAACATTCAGATTTCTCAAGCTCACAGATTCTTCTGTGTCCAGTTGATCGACGAGACCATCAGAGGCATTCTTCGCACTGTTGCAGTGCTTTACCCATCTTCTTTGGTGTTTTATCTACTTTTTCCACTAGAGCCCTTAGGATATTCATCATAGTTATTTTAAATTGCAGCTCTGATGATTTCAAAACCTCTGCCATATCAGAGTCTGGTTCTAATGCCTGCTCTGCCTCTTCACTGTGTTTCTGTCTTTAGTGTGCATTGTGATAATACGTTGAAAGTGAGTATGATGGACTGGGTAAAAGGAATCCAGTACCGGCTCCAGTGGTGGTTTCTGTTCCTGGGCTTCCACTCTGTGGGTCTTTGTATCTTCTTGTTTCTCTGACTTTGGGGTCAGAAGTTTGTCTATGGATCTAAGAAGATGGAACTAATAATTGTTGATTGTTTTCCATTTATTCAGCTTTTTTCTTGTTGTGAGGACGGGAGTGACAATTTGCAAGCTCTACACGCTAGACCAAAAACTGGTTCCTTACATTTAGACTTTTAAGGAAAGGAAAACGTGTTAGAGAAATGCTTATCATTAGCCTAACCAGGTTGTCCAGCCATGGGATGAAGGGGCGAAGACTGCTCATGATCTTTTAGCTGTGAAATTCCTCATGGCAAAGCACAGATCCAGCACTGATACCACAGTCGATGAAAAGTGAAAGTATTCCTTTTCGTTTATCTTTTTAATCCACACAACTCTGGCTTTTTAAAGAATGAATGATGTGTCATGTTCCTCCTGGCACAGAAGTCCATTTCCGTGAGCATAAAGCACCCACAAGTCCACATACAAGGTGGATGTGGCAGTGAGGGCTATGTATCCAAATGTTATTGGCGACTCTGAAATCCAGAGGCCAGTGGCTGGGAAGAGAAGGGAGGTAAGCAGAGCAAAGCAGGAGTAGTATTTTCTTGCATTCCTGCCATGGGACAGGCAAGGAAACTTGAGGAAAGCCCTACTACGGCCAGGAGTCAGCCCTTGTGTTTCCTTATAAGAGAAGCAGCGAAGGGAGAAGCAGAGAGCTCTGGAGCCAGGTTGTGGGAGTCACGAGGCTGCTGAGAGCCATGAGGCTGGCCGGGAGCTGAGCTTGTCGCAAAGCTTCCCAAAAGCTCATCAGTACTAACGGATTTCCTGGATTAGGGACCACAACGACACCAGGAAGGCGGTGTCCACAGAACCCAGCTGTATCAGGGCAACAGCAGGAATGCAAAAGGCAGACAGATGGCAGCAGCCAAGGTCACCCAGGCGTCTGCTCTCCATGGTGCCCAGATCTGGTTTCCTGTGGCTGCCGTAACAAATTACCATCAACCTAAAACAACAGATGTTTCTTCTCACAGTTCCGGAGGCCAGAATCTGAAATCAAGGTGTGAGTAGGACAACGTTCCCCTAGAAAGCTCTAGGGGAGGATCCTTCCTGGCCTTCTCAGGCTTCTGGTGGCTCATGGCATTCCTTGGCTTGAGGCTGCATCCCTCCAATCTCCGCCTCCATCTTCACAAGGTCTAGCCTCTGCTTCTGTGTCTTCTCCTCTTTTGTCTCTTATGAGGACACCTGTCATTGGAGCTAGTACCTCTCCACTCCCCTTGCAGGTAATCCAGGATAATCCCATCTGAGATTCCTAATTTAATTATATTTGCAGGGCCTCTTGTTTCCAAATAAGGTCTCATTCTCAGGTTCTAAGGACTGGGGGATGGATCTACTTTTGAGGCCACCATTCAGCCCACCTACTACATAGCATGCGTTTATAGTCTCCTAATCACAAAGCCTTAAGGGTGTAATCAAGGAGGCACTACCCTGGCTGCAAAATACGATGACTCATCATTCACAATGACTAGGAGAGCTATGTTAAAACGTCCAGAGATGGGACAATTTTACAGACTTATTCAGAGTGGACAACTTTATGATTCCTTCCCTGCAATAGATGAGGAAACAAGTAAAGGAGATTGTTCTGCCGTGGAAAGCTTCGTGGCTGACTGTCATAGATAAGGGCTGGGGCACTCCCTGCTTCAGTTCCTGGTGTGCTGTGAAAACTGAAAACACGTGATTAACCTTTCACTCACCAGCACATTGACGGTGCAGCTCATGCGGTTTTCTTTGTTCTCGTCGTGCATGATGGTTCTATAATCCAAAAGCCTTTCCATTAAGCGCACAACGAGTTTTACAAAAGTTTCTCCTGTTTTGGCGAGGTATTTATGCTTCCTGCAGTGCTCCAGAAGGCTGAAAAATAATTATACACACCTTGTTAATCACACTCAGAAAAAGAAACTCAACCGAGGTGCAATTTTAACTATTTTCCATTATTAACACATTTTAATTATTTCTGGGCTACAAAGTTCATTGTAGTCTAATTACGGTCTCCCTAATTCTCTCTCCCTGAGAGATATAGAGCTCTATATCTCTCCGACATAAATCCCACTGCTAATCAACACTTACATTTTATCAAATAACACTTTGTACTGTTCGTCTCCTCTGCCTCCTTCCACTTCATGATCCAGCTTGGTGATGATCTCATTTTCAAACTATAATTAAACAGAGGAAGCGTAAATAATCAGCATGGCGGGTATTTCATTTTATGACTTGAGTGTCAATAGCACATAAATCAACAAGAGAGATCATCCCAGACGCTACCCTCTGCCTTTGAAGCCTCATTTAAGAGTTGCCAACACAGAACCCCTGGAGTTTCTGATGATCCCCTGCCACAGGGGGACCTTTCGTTTCCTTTTCTGGTTAATGGAGCCTGAACATGTATGTCCTGATAGCAGGAGCAAGAACCAGGGGAAGAAAGACAAGGAAACTGTAGGGGGAAAAAAAAATCAAAGCACAGCATGGAAAAAAGTCTCAAATTTCATCTCTACGAACACGTAACATCCAAAATAGCTCGTTGGTTCCTGAAATGAGCAGATGGTGTTTCTCCTGCCAGTGAAGAGTTCTCGGCAATCTGAAAACATCCTAGGGGCCACTTAGCTGCCATTCCTTGATAGATCCTAGTGAAATACCTCACTCTGGCTGAAAAAATGTTCTAAAGAGCAAGAGGAGCAACGTTCCTAAAGACAGACCAGCAGGCACCTCAAGAAGGTCCATCTCCAGCCGATCCTCCATCCCCAAGCTTCTGATTAAATTTCCTGGGAATCAGGGTGCAGAAGGGTTGCCAGTATCAGCTAGTTATGTCTCAGATCCATGCTTTTAGAAAAACTCTAAATTCTGGAGAGGTGGAAATCTCTAAAACGTCTTCAAGCGTCTGATCAGGCTGAAAAAAACCTCAATAACAATGGACGTGTTTTCTCCATCCTCACTGCCCAGTTCCCCATCCCTGGCAGAGTTCACAGCCACATCAGTACTGGGACTCTGGCCTGGTGATCAGCCATGTTGCAGGGGACCCTGAATTACCATTGACTTGTGCCAGTAGCAAGGAAGGGCTGTGAGATTGTTTGTTCACATAAATATGAGACATGCACACTCTAAACTGAAAGAAGATAGACAAAGGAAGAATTGAAGAAAGCTGAATTCAGGGTTCAGAAAGCAGGTACGCCACGGGCATGTACGCAAGGGTCTCCAGGATCTCTTTAAAGCCATGTTCAATCACCTACTTTCTCAGGCAACAATGCTCAAGCCATCCACTGTTATTAGGATCCCAGTGGAATTTAAGCTGAGTGAGAGGAAGAATTTTTCTTTGGTCATTGCTCTAGCCAGCCCCAAAACCTCAAACAGTGCCTTTGATGCTGTAATGGAATGAATGTGCTGTGTGTATAGAAACTATTGAAGACAGTTAGTCTTAGACCAACTGAGATTGGATAAAGTTCTTAGACTGGATAAAGCTGGAGAGGGCTTAATATGTCAGCAAAGGAGTGGTCTACAGCGTTGATAAATCACAACCTGCATTCTTGGCCAAGCCAGGCCCAGAAGTGAAAACAGCTCATCCAGAGTGCCTGTGACAGACACTGTGGGCACCAGAGACTTGGGGATGCCTCAGCAGTTGCAGGTGACTATGGCCCCCTGAGAAGCAATAAGCAAGGAGTGGTGATACCCAAGGAGGGGCCTCAAAATGGACACAGACGCCCTGCCTGTCCTTGATCAGTACACACTGCCCAAAGCCACAGCTGTATCACACTGCAGATGAAACACAGGCTTTCAGGGCTGGAGAGAAGTATTGATTCTTGCCTGACATCAAGGACTCAGTAACATTCCCAGAACCTGGACCTTAGCGAATCTCTCCAATTTTCTTCTTGATCTTCTCCACGGTCTCTTCCCCCAAATAAACACTTCTTTTGATTCTGTCTGGCCTAAGAAGTTGAGGGATTTTTAGACAGATGGTTCTATTGAAGGAGGAATGACTTGCTTTATTTTTTTCACCTGAAATCTCACATTAACGATTTTTACCGTAAAATAACAACCTTTTGATACTAAACACTACTATCCTGCTCTTTACAGAAAATAATTCTGCAAAAGGTAGTTCTTTTTGGAATCAGATACAAGGGAGAACACTTGGTAGTAGCCCAAAAGTTGGCATTTCAAGGCAGTCCCATCTCCTAGGTGGTGGCATGATCCAGACAGACTTCAAAGACTAAATATTTGATGAGGGCTGATGCTTTAGGACAGATAATAAAGACACAAAATTAAATTAAATTTAATCAAAACATGATTCAGTTTCATGTATTTTTAATGAGTACAGACAACACGGAAGGTACAGAGAATGCAGAGAAAGGTGCAGAGAAACATGGGCAAACACACAAGCATTTAAAATCGCTCCTCACTGGTCAATCCGAAGGGATCTGAACGTGGAGTGTAGGTTATGAAAACGGCATGTTTTCTCTGCTTCCACGTAAATCTAGCTGTCACAAACACCGGCAATGGGGAAGCTACAGCTACCTGGCTGTGCTGCTGATCAAATTTTGACTGAAGAACTTAATGATTTCCAAAAAAAGTGGATGAATAGTAAGTCCATCACAACACAGCTGATTCTAATTTTGCTAACCCTAGTCCAAACTAAGTAATTTACACAAACACCTGGCCACCCTATTCTGTTTATTAGCAAGAATTCAATACCAGAGATCTACAGCTAGCCTCCAATTCTAGGATCCTCGTTAATTTTTACAGAACACACTCGAATTGATTCGCTAGTGTGCTGTGAACTGTTACTATAATCAGAATGAAATGATCCTGTCCCACTAAATTGGAGACAGTACACTTGCTGATAGAGCAGAGCTGGTTTTATAAAAATCATGCTTATTATCTTCCTCGTAAATGCACATTGTCTGCTGATTTGCAACAAGGTTCTCTGCGGCTGGGATAAAATTAGCAAGGGTTTCCTGCGTTGCTCAAAAGGTGGCAGAGGCTCACTCACATAATAAGCAAAACCATTATATTTTCTTCTCTTTTCTGAATCACTAATATTGCTACAAAAATACTCACAGGGTGTCCAACTTAAAACACTGAACAGAGAGTCTCTAAGCGTCTGATACTAGCGGCCCTCTGAGAACATGAAACAAGAGAACACTTATGGACAGAAGGCCTTTCGGAAAGTTGCTGTTAAATTGAACGTGATGGAATCAGGGGGCTGAGCTCAAAGCAGTATTGACATCTTGTTAATTCAATTAACTTGAAAAGGAACCACTGCTTTTGCCACTCACTGCCACAGTTAACCATAGGCTATGGCACCTATCTGAAAGATCATGGAGAGAAGGATCCCAGTAGTGCTAATCCAAAAGCCAATTATATGTGGTTTGGAATGCATAATTTTTGTTTTGGGTGAGATTTACTATTCTTACTAATGCATGTATAATTTTATACGTCTGTAATGTCTAACATCAGCCTGCACTTGCCAGCCAGCCAGGACCACGCTTTACACAATAGAAGAGCTCCAGCGTTCTGTGGGAGCGCAGCAGGAGGCTGCGCCACGGTGGAAAGGTTTGCACAGATCACTCACCACCTTGACGGAGGGCTCCGAGGTCATCAAGAGCTGGGTGAAATCTGACATCTATGGACATGGTCTGCTAAGTACATTAGCAGAAGGGCTTATTTGACCCTTTACAAATAAACCTTAGCACAATGCTGCTGTTTGCCCAGAGTGCTCTAGTTTCTCCTGTATTTAAAGAAAAAATGCTCAGAAGATACTGCAGGCAGGGGCGTGGTGTTGGACCACCTCCTGGTTTCAGAGGGCACCAAGGAATCAGACTCCCTCTGCCTTCTCTCCCCGGAATGGGGCCAATCTGATGAAACTGCACAGCCACACCTTACCCCTTGAGGATGTGCAGGAGGAGGTGGGCGGGAGAAAGTTGCTGGACTGCATCTGGGTGGAACTCAGGACTGAGTTCACTCAGCCTTGAGTTCCTGTGCTCAGACACATTCATATCTTTATATAGAGAGCATTCTTCTTGCCTAACTGCTCCGAAAACTTAATTACACACTTAATTAATCAGTGGCACTTCATCCCACATTCAAAAACCTCCACATCCTCCTACGTCCACCAAGCAGGGGGCTTGCTGACCTTGGAGCTCTCGTGAAACACTCATGAGCCTGGAGGACCCAGTGCAACTCATGTGGAGCTGCCTGGCTGGGGAGCTGTCCATCACAGGCCATGACACCTTGCTGATGCCTGTGACAGGTGCAGCGGCTCCTTACATCTACACGACACAGATCAGAGTGACTTTAGGGCTGCATGCAATTCCAGTGGAGTCTGGGAACATGGCCTCAAAATTAGTCCTGTTTAATTTGGTTAAAGGGGATTATGGAAGTTTGAGAATCTCTTTGTTGGAGGGCTTTTAAGAATGGAATTCAATAGAGTCACTGCTCCTGGAGTCAACGATATTGGTTTCCACAGCCTCTCAGACCATCTTTGGGTCTGGATTCAATGAAACAGAAGCCTCTTGTGCCGTATTTCCTCTTTAGGCAAGAATTATTTTGACATCGAAAGCAAAAATAAACAAACCAACAAATAAAATCCCAATGAATTAAAGAATAAACAAGACAGAATTGCTACCAAACTCATTCACATTCATATTACAGTGGAAAATACATTGGCCTTTCCACCAAGTGGCAGAAGCCGACGACATTCACCCGGCTGTTCAATTACTGGCTTCTGGTTACCGGCACGGGCAGCGGGAAGAGATTATTCAAACAGGAGCCTGGCAACACTGATGACATGAAGATTACTCATGTTCTAATACTGTTAGGACTAAATGGGAATTTCTGGAAGTTGTGGAGCATTTTACTGAGCCTCACAAAGATGACAGAAAATAGCTCCATGATTGAAAATATTATTTTTGCTGGGCAGCTTTTTCCATTCCATTTTTATTAATGGTCTATGGCCCACATGGTCATTTGCTGCAATTCTCAGCTGTTAGTTCTGTATTTTCCAAAGGCATAACAAATGGAATTCTTTAAAAAGATGCCAGGAGGGAATTTAAAAGTATGCTTTTTATTATGAAGCAAAATCCAGTATGAGGGTGAGACTTGGAGTGTGGTCCATGGGAGGGCAGGGTTCTTGGTGAGGTAGGGAGAGTCAGCTTAAGGCCAGGGGCGG